GCGGTCTGCTGCGGTCTCTGGCTGTCCTCGCAGCGGCCCTCGGCGGACGCGGGCGGTCCTCGGCAGCCCTCGGCGATCTCCTGCGGCCTTCTGCACCAAGGCTGGGCTGATCGAACACCCATGAGTTGGGAAGCAATTTCTGGGAGGCATTCAAAAGAACGACTAGGGGCTATGAGCCAGATCGAGGGGGCACGAGTGAGCACCCCCTAAGACGAAGGCAGGAGAGGGACATCATCGGGCACAAATAGCTCGGAATCCCCGGGGACTGGCAGGCCGAGAATGCACCGGCCGCCGCGGCCGTTCCAGAGCTGTCCGGAACCCCCTGGGAGCGTCTTGGAAGCTCCAGAGCAATGTGAGCGTTTTGTTATTCGACGTTTCGACTTTGGGCGGAAGGGGGGGGAAGGGGGGGGGTCTGGCTCCAGACTTCTGCTCAGCGCGACTGTTTGCAACAGTGTGTCCTGCGGGGGAGACTCCACCTGCTCGAAACTGGCGCCAACAACAGCCAAGACCCACTCCCTGGGGGGGGGGGAGGGGGGGAGAGGGGGGCGGAGGGCCCGCGCCGGTCGGCAAAACGATGAAGAAGAACACGATCACGAGCTGTCGTCGGCCTGGGCCTAAGTCGGGCGCGTCCCCCTTCAGGGGGATTTTCGACGAAAAATAGAAAATACTCGAAACAAAAACTCAAAAAAATGGTCCCCCGACTATTTTTGAATATTCCCCCTGTAGAAGGACAGGCCCGACTTAAGCCTGGGCCTGCCTGACCCGCCCACATGGCGCGGGGCGACCGCCGCCGGGCGCCGTCGCGGCAGCCGGTGCGCAGGGGAGGCGGGCCCCGCAGGGGCTGGTCCCCGGGGGGCAGCTCGGCCTCCTGCCTAACTCCAGGTCTCTCAATATAAGCGTGGGGGCGGCGGCTCGCGTGGGGGCGTGGGGGGAAGCCGCCGTCCTTCGGGGGGGGGGCGTGGGGAGGCTGGGGAGCGAGGGGGGGGGGGTCTGGGGCGCGTGGGGGGCGGGCAAGGGGCCTCGGACAGGTTGGCACGGGGGGGGTGAGGGCGGAGGAGGAGGAGGGAGGAGGAGGGAGGAGGGGGAGGAGGGAGGAGGGAGGAGGGGAGGAGGAGGGGGAGGGAGGAGGGAGGAGGAGGAGGAGGAGGAGGAGGAGGAGGAGGAGGAGGAGGAGGAGGAGGAGGGAGGGGGGAGGAGGAGGGAGGGGGGAGGAGGGAGGAGGGAGGAGGAGGGAGTGGAAAGCGGGGGGGTGCTCATCGAAGGATGTGGAGTCCCTAACCGCTGCACGGGCCCGTGGGCCAGGAGCGGCCCCCCCAGACCTGCCGAGAGCAGCGGGCAAGACTCCGGGGGCCCTTTTGCCTGCTGGACGGGGATCCAGAAAGGGGCCCCTGTACCCTTTGGGAGGGGACCTGAGTTGGGAGGGTCGAAAACATTAGGGATAGGGGAGGGTCAAAAAGAGTAGGGGTAGGGCAAGACTCCGGGGCCCCATGCCTGCTGGACGGGGATCCAGAAAGGAGCCCCGTAATCCTCTGGGAGGGGACCTGAGTTGGGAGGGTCGAAAACATTCGGGATAGGGGGGTTCTTTCCTGCGGATGTATCGAACCGAACCGCCCAGGTCGATGATCCCTTACGCAAAGACGGGGACCTCAACGAGGCTGCGTCTTCACTGTGTCATTCGGCTAAGGGGTGCTTTTGTTCTCGATGACTGGAGTGGCACGCCCAGAATGGGTGGAGAAAAACGTGTGCTCTGCCAAACAGCAAGTGTGGTCAAAAGGGCAACGCCCGCGATGACATCAAATGCGAACCCTGCTCTAAATTGGCAGAAACTGCTGTCGGCCGTCGTCCCCATTCTTCTCGTGCGGATTTCGATCGTACTGACAGGACCCGCTTCCTGCATGCTAACCCAAGTGGAGCCGGATCCGCGCAGGCCAAGCGGATGTTCTGGTCCAGGTCGCTCAGCGGCACGCCGTCACGCAGGATCAGCTCGAACCGCATCCCCTGCCGCTGCTGCTGCTGCTGCTGCTGCTGCTGCTGCTGCTGCTGCTGCTGCTGCTGCTGCTGCTGCTGCTGCTGCTGCTGCTGCTGCTGCTGCTGTTTCTTCGTCCTCCTCCTCCTCGTCCTCCGCCGCCGCCGCTGCCGCCTCCGCCTACAGGGGAGAGTTGGAGGGCGGCGGCTGTTGCCGCTGCTGCTGCCGATGCTCCTCCCTGCTCCTCCTCCGCCTGTGCCGCCTCCGCAACGTGGCCCTCCCCCTCCTCCTCCTCCTCCTCCTCCTCCTCCTCCTCCTCCTCCTCCTCCTCCTCCTCCTCCCGAAAGGAAGGCGGAGGGTGGAGGGGGGGGGAGGCAGGGCGAGGGGGGATGGAGAGAGGAGGCAAGCTAGGTGCGTCCGCGCCTCAACTGACATCCCATCCCTCCCTTCCATCCCTTCCCATGGCGCTGAATCCGCGGACTCTTGTCATCCCCGACCTGCGGCTCACACAGAGAGACAATTTCGTGTTCTGCGCAATCGAAGCTGCGTGCACAGGAGGTGGCGGGTGAGCAGGAGGATAAGCGGGAGGAAACGGATAAGGACGAACAGCAGCAGTAGCAGAAACTAAAGCGGAAGGATCGAGAGGGAAAGGAGGACCAGGGGAAAGCGAAGGATGGAAAATGAGAAGCTCCAAGTGCGGGGAGAGTCGGCCCGATGGGTCTGTGACACCATGTACAGGCTGGCCGCCAGTATGTCTAGGCACCTCCAGGATAACCTCCACCTCCCAATGGCAATCAAGAAGTTTGGCATGACAGCCACTAGCCCCCAGCTGCGTGAAGCAGAAGGAGTGTTGGGGAAGCTGGGAGGAGGAGGAGGAGCGTACAATGTTCCCCACCTCGGTGTCGACTTCACTGGAGGGAAGGCCCGTCGAGGTCAGTCGAATTTGAAGGTTCGAAGCAAGCGTGTTCGGAACTTTTACCAGCGTCGGAAGAAGTTGCAGACCCTCCGTACTTAAAAAGCAAGTCTCGAGGCCGCCTGTTCCAAAACAATTGGAAAAAAACCTGCCCTTGTCTACGGGGGGAAGTCGTAGGATTTTCCCCACACCAAGTGAAGCGGCTGCGTTCGGCAGCTGCTCGGGCCAGTGGCATAGCCATTCGAGGACGTGCTACTGATTTGGTTTGGGCTTGCTCGGGGGCGGCGGGTCCGTTGGATGTCGCGGCCATGCCACTGACCCGATACGCAGAAGAATGGTGGATGCTATCTGCATCCTTGGGTCATGACGAGCAGCACGTGCACGAAGGCACTTTGCCTGCAAGTATCCTCAGCCAAATGTTTCACTCTGCTTTGCGCCGTAGTTTAGAAGGCCCCACGAAGAGGTGGTTCGTCAAAAGTAAGGCTCCGATTTCGGACACGATGATTTGGTTGCTCGAAGCGGGGTGGGGTATCCAAGGACCTGCTAGATTCCGAGATTGCCGAGGGGTAGAAAACAGCCCAGCATCTGTGCGTGAGCTCTTTGTCGGCCAGCTCAGAAGCACGCTGATCCGACGAGCTATGGAAAAGGAAGACAGATCGTTCTGGACCTGGATGGTCCGACATCTCATCCCAGTGGCCCTGGTGGGAACTCCCTCGCAAGGCTCTTGCCTCCCGCCGCCCTGAGCTTTGCGCTCGAGAGGTGCGTTCTGCTCCGCCTGGTGTTCTGTGACTGTTTACCCACCAGGGTCAGGCTTCGCAGCTGGGGTGTCCAGCCAGAAGAGCATTGTGTCGACTGCGGCCGCCCTGATGCATTGTGGCACCGCGCTTGGGTATGCAGCCACAGCCAGGCCGTGCGTGAGCCCTATGGTCCGACAGGCCCCAGAGGCTGGGGACGGCCCTCCCCTGTTCACGTTTGGATGGGCGGCGTGCCTTGACCTGACCACCCCAGCTTCCTGCTGGCACATTCAGTCGTCCGATGAAAACGGTGACTCGGTCAAACCTCTTTATTTCCCTCCAGGGGCCCGTCTGTTTTCAGATGGGAGCTGCATCCACCTTCGCTTTGTGTGGACCCTGGCCCGTGCTGGTTATGCCGTTGTCCAAGTAGACGATGACGGCAGCCTAACTAAAGGTTTGTACGCTGGCTTACCGTTTACTGTCTCCCAGACGGCGATTTCGGGTACTCAGCGAAGACGGCATGGAGACATCCGAGCTCCATGTAGATTGCCAGGCGTTGTTGTGCCGCCCAGCCCAGGTTGTTGGCCCCAATTGCAGCCAGGGTCATTTCTGGAGGGCGATGAGTCGCGTGACTGGCTCTGATCGTGTTGTTCGTTTTGTCCATAGGGGAAGCCCACAGAGATGAATCCCAGGCTGTTGATGACAATGACGCCCTGTTTATTGCGGGCAACAGGCCTGCTGATCATCACGCCAAAAGACCTGCGCATGAAAACTCGTTTTCGATTAGTGAATCGGAGACCATCCAGCTTGCCCTTCTGGTCTATCCTAAGCTGTTGAGGGGCATGGCCAAATGCCTTGCCGAGTGGCCAACTGTTCAGGATCAATTCGGTGAGTTTTGTCGAAGTGCGGTTGAGCATGAGCCCAAGGTGCCCCCCCCCCTCCCCATGAGTTTGTCTGGTGGAGCTCGTCGTCAAAATGGCGGTGCAGACACTGTCTCAGGCGCGTGGGCCCAGGGACCAGGAGGGGCTGCACGGCTCTCAACCCCGCTCTTTTAGACCTAGTGCTGGCAGACGCTCACTAGGGACACTCGTTTCAGGTGAGCTGGATCATAGGCCCCGACATGCCCGTGATGTGGTGCCGCATGTGCGGGGGCTTCGCCACCACGAGGGCTGGCGCCAGGCTCGCAGGCCCCCGCAGGCCCCAGGCCAAGTGCTCGGAGCGGCAGAAGCTGCTCCAGTGCCGCCTGCCCGGCACGGTCCTGCGGCTAGGACCGCCCCAGCCGCTCTCTCCTCTCGGGGGGGGGGAGGCGGGCGGGAGCAGCGAGAGCGACTGACTGTGGCGTGCGCTCTCTTTCGTTCTGAGTCTCTTGGCTCCTCTTTCGACTGCAGCTTGTGCTCACACGAGACCTCAGTGGGACCTGCAACCTGTCACCCGCAGCCCGAAAGCGAGAAGGGCGACAACGAGAAATAAGGACTCACGGCAGCAGCAGGATCGAGAGCGGAAGGAGCGGGAGGAGCAGCCGAACCGGGGGACGGCGGCGGAGGGGAGAGGACGGGGGAAGGCCACGAGGAAGCAGAGCTCGGATCCGGACGAGCGGCCCGCGCCGGGGCGATAGCGCCCGTCGGAGCGACGGGGGCAGCGCGCCGCTCCGACAACGAGGCCCACGCTGCAGCGGGAGCGCCGTTTTGAGACACCTAGCACGGTTGGATTGCAAAACGCACCAGAAAAATATGTGATGCCCTTTGCGTAAGAGAACAGCACGCGGAGAGGGCGGGAGATCGTCAGGAAGCTCCCGGGAGGCAGGGGAGCAGTACTCATATTGCTGAAGTGCAGAAGAAGGGAAAAAGATGGGACGGAGGAGCAACAGCGACGACGACGACGACGACGACGACGACGACGACGACGACGACGGCGGCGGCGACGACGACGACGGCGGCGGCGGCGGCGGCGGCGGCGGCGCTGCCTCCACGACGCCCCTCGGCGGCAACATCAGGCAGCGGCCTGCGCGCGAGAGCGCAGGCGCCCGAAGCCGCAACGCCGCTCCCGCAGCCGCCCCGCCGCTCCGAAGGTCGCCCAGCACGGGCGAAGCTGGGGCGCTAGCTTCGCTCACTGGCACGGACACGACGCACACCACCCTCGAAAACTCCTCCTCCTCCTCCTCCTCATCCTCATCATCATCATCATCATCATCATCATCATCATCATCATCATCATCATCATCATCATCATCATCATCATCATCATCATCATCATCATCGTCAGCATCATCATCATCATCATCATCATCATCATCATCATCATCATCATCATCATCATCAGAATCAGCAGCATCATCATCATCATCATCATCATCATCAGCAGCAGCAGCATCATCAACATCAGCAACGTCATCATCAGCAGCAGCCGCATCATCCTCATCATCAACATCACCAACATCATCAGCACCATCACCTTCATCCTCATCATACTCATCATCATGATCATCATCGGCAGCAGCAGCAGCATCATCATCATCACCACCACCATCATCATCACAATCGCGCGCAGCAGCATCAGCAACAGCATCAGCAGCATCCGCAGCAGCAGCCGCTCCTCAGCGCCACACTCATCACAATACGTAAATCGTCGTTCACCTCATCACTGCCGCTGTCCACGTTCGTCCTCATCATCATCTTCGCCGTCGTCGTCGTCATCCTCGCCATCCTCGTCAGCACCACCAGCATCGTCATCATTCTCATCATCGTCGTCGCTCGTCCCCCCCTTTCACCCGCAGCAAACCGATGCATGGCGGCACGAAGTCGTCGCTGTCGCCCGCGTCCTCCTCGCCGACGACGAGGACCCGGGGCTCCTCGCCACCGGGGGGGGAAAGCGGAGCGCCCCGCGCACCCGACCACCCAGGAGCACAGGAGGAGGGAGTGAGGAGGGAGGAGGAAAAAAAGGGGACGGAGGGAGACGGAGAAGTGAGATAGTGGAGGAGGGAGGAGGGAGGGGGGAGGAGGAAGAGAGAGGAGGGGAGGAGAGGGAGGAGGGAGGAGGAGGAGGAGGAGGAGGAGGAGGAGGAGGAGGAGGAGGAGGAGGAAGGCTGCCGACCAAGGCCGTTCGCTGGAACTCTATCCTCCGCACTCGCCCCCGGGCGCCGTGCCAGGCCGGCGCGCGCGGCCCTGGGGGGGGTCGGCCTCAGCGCGCCGCTGCAACGGTGGCTGCGCGCGTACGCCGTCCCCCTCCTCCTCCCCCTCCCTCCTCCTCCTCCTCCTCCTCCTTCCTCCCTCCTCCTCCTCCTCCTCCTCCTCTCCTCCTCCTCCTCCTCTCCTCCTCCTCCTCCTCTTTCCCCTCCTCCTCGTCGTCCTCCTCCTCCTCCCCCTCCTCCTCCTCTGGGGGTCTACGCTGCGAAAGAACAAAAAAACACGACCGTACAGGCTGAATCTCAAGACCCACAGGCAGAATCTCAAGATCTACAGGCTGAACCTCAAAACATTATCCACATGCAGAACCTCCAGATCTACAGGCAGAACCTCCAGACCCTCAGGGAGAATCTCAAGATCTGCAAGCTGAGGGCTACGAGACTTACCCACAAGACGTACCAGCAGGAATGCCGAGACCTTACACGCATAGAGGAGCATGGACGCGAACAGACGCGCCCCCAAAACAACTGGGGTACAACGTCCGGCATGGGATACGGCCTCGACCCGACGACATCATTATCACTGCTACGACTTCCCTCGTGAGAGCGTCCAAGCACGAGCTACGTAACATGCAGCCCCAGTGCGAGAACGAGCTGTGCAACAAGCAGCCCAAGTACGAAAACGAAGTGCGCAACAGACAGCCCAATGACGACCACCACCACCACCATTACGACACTAAGTATGACACCAAAGCCGACACCAAGAACGATACGACCGAGGCCGACACCAGGAACGACACGACAGGAAAAAAATAAACACATACCATCCCAGCCGGGCCAGTATCCACCCACCCACCCCCCGCCATCCTCTTCCAAAAAAGGGTACGCGCGCACATTCATTCATCAAAAACCATCAATGCACATATATATATATATATAACAAAAAACCGTTCAGTAGACGAGACGAAGTGCACACGCGCGCGTTGTCGCGCGCGCATGCCAAGATCTTTCAAAAATTGTTGGTGTCGTAAGGATGTCACAATCGAGTGCCCCCAAAATAATAATAATAAAAAAAATGAAAATAATAATAGTGATAATAATAATAAACACGGTTTCGCAGCACGGATTTTCAACAAAAGCGTGCGCGCGCTCCTGCGAATGCTTCAGAAAACCATATGTGTGTTCAACATGTCCCTACAATACTACCAAGCGGGCTTCGCGCGCGCATGTCGAAATCGTTCGAACGCCGTTGCGCGCGTGCCGTCGCGAGAACCTGTTTGCGAAAAAAACGAAACGAAGTGCACATGCGCGAGTCGTCCGACATCCGTCAAAAACCGTCGGTGTCGTAACGATTGCAAAGCCGAGTGCCCCCAAAAAAGCGACATATGGTTTCGCAACATCACTATTCAAAAAAGTTCACGCTCGCGCTTTTGCGAATTCATTAGAAAACCATTAAAAGGTTTCAACATGTTCATGGAATTCTGCCAAACGGGCCTCTGGCGCCGCATGCCAACATTATTCACACGCCCTCGCGCGCGTGCTGGGGGGGCACACGATCGGTGGCACAAAATACCGTGCGGGCCACTCTCGCGCGTCGGGCGCGCGCGCATGCCGAACTTGTCCCAAAACTTTTTCTATCGCCGACGCGAGGACGCCGTCATCGTCGTCGGCGTGATCAGCATCGGCGCCCGCGCTGGCCGCGCCGTCTTCTTTGTCAACATCGTCACCACCATCGCTACTATCAGTATCGTGTCTACCGTTGTCGACGTTGCCATGATACCGCGCCCGCCCAAGTCGCCAACTCGCACTGAAGTGCCCGCTGGCATGCACCCAGCGGTCAGCGCCACCGCGTTCGCACCGGTCGCGCCAAGCTAGCTGGCCGCTGCGTGCGCGTGCTTGGGTTGGCACGGCCGCACAGATGCACCAGCCGACGCCAAGCACTCATCGCCATCGCCACCGCAGGGGTCCTGCAAACCAAGTTGTGGGTGGGTGGGTGGGTGGGATGATTGCGCGAGCAAGTGGAGGTAGTCAAGCGCGGTGCAGAATAGTCAATTGCACCACATAGGTTGCATCGCTTAGGCTGCACCACCCGGGCTTGCACGATATAGATTGAGACGCCGACGCTGCACCACATGGATTGATCAGCATGGATTTCCCCATCCAGGATGCACAACATATATTGTACCACTTAGATTGCACTACATGAATTGCACCACATCGATTGCACGACATAGACTGCTAAACATAGTTTGCACAACATGTATTGCCAACACAATTGTGCAGGGGCCCACGCTGGCAAAAGAAGTTACGTAAACAAATACATGTATGTATGTCTGTCTGTCTGTCTGTCTGTCTTTCTGTCTGTCTGTCTGTCTGTCTGTCTGTCTGTCTGTATGTATGTATGTATGTATGCATGCATGCATGCATGCATGCATGCATGTATGTATGTATGTATGCATGCATGCATGCATGTATGTATGTATGTGTGTGTATGTATGTGCATGTATGTGCATGTATGCGCATGTATGTATGTATACATGTATGTATGTATGTATGTATGTATGTATGCATGTATGCATGTATGCATGCATGTATGTATGTATGTATGTATGTATGTATGTATGTATGTATGTATGTATGTATGTATGTATGTATGTGTGTATGTATGTATGTATGTATGTATGTATGTATGTATGTATGTATGTGTATGTATGTATGTATGTATGTATGTATGTATGTATGTATGTATGTATGTATGTATGTATGTATGTATGTGTCTGAGTGATCCTAGTCGAGGGTCGGGCTCCTCTGGGGTCATTGTTCTTCCAGCGTTCCCCTTAGGCTGCCCCCGACAAATCTAACCAATTAGTGGCCTCCTCCCCCTCCTTCTCCGCACTATCATGCGAATCCTCATCATGTTCATCCTCATCGGCATCCTGTTCATGATGCGTATCGTTGTTCACGCCCTGATCATCATGATGATGATCCTTATCAGATTCAGTATCATCATCAGCAGCATCATCATCATCACCATCATCAGCAGCAGCATCATCATCATCATCCTCATCCACACCCTCATCATCCCATCCGTAGTCGTCATCGTCGTCATCAGCAACATCAACATTCCCATCATCACCGTCACAATCACAATTATCATCGTCATTACCGTCGTTATCGGTTTCGGCATCGCCATCGTCATCGTCATCACGATCAATATGAACATCGGCACCATCATCCGCACCACCGGCACCACCAACATCGGATGTGCCACATCGCCCTCACCCTACCGATGATCAGAAGATTCCTTGTCCTCCTCTCTCTTTTTCTCTCTCCTCCTTCCTCCATCCTCCTTCCTCCCTCCTTCCTCCCTCCTGGACAATCTGGGCACTCTGAAAAGGTCTAGGTTCCCACAGGTGTGCAAACCCAGACCAAAGAGACAGAGAGAGAGAGAAGTCACCACTCCCCACCCCTCCGCGATGATCAGAAGATTCCTTGTCCTCCTCTCAATTTTTCTCTCTCCTCCTTCCTCCATCCTCCTTCCTCCCTCCTTCCTCCCTCCTGGTCAATCTGGGCAATCTGAAAAGGTCTAGGTTCCCACAGGTGTGCAAACCCAGACCAAAGAGACAGAGAGAGAGAGAGAAGTCACCACTCCCCACCCCTCCGCTTGGCCTGCAGCAGACGCCTGGCCAGCTCCCCCAGTGGGGGTCCTGTCCAGGACTTCCTCGTTCCTCCCTCTTTCTCCTCTGCCCTCCTCCTCTAGGGGCCAAAAGAATATACACCACCACCACGTCGACTCCTCCTCTCTCTCCTCGTGCCAGCGAGGAGGGAGGGGGGGAGGGAGGTGGTGGTGGTGTATATCTTTGGGCCCCTCCTCCTCCTCTCTCCTCGTCGCCCTCGCCCTCCTCCTCCTCCTCCTCCTCCTCCTCCTCCTCCTCCTCCTCCTCCTCGTCCTCCCTCCCCCCCCGCGCGCAGCGGCTCCTTCCCGAAGTCTTCGCACGTGGACATGCCCCCGCTGCCCTCGGCGAGTCCCGCGCGCGTGTCCTCTGCGCGTCGGGCGCGCGGGGGCGGCCCCCGGGAGGCCCACGGCAAGGGCGAGGGGCCGCAGCACAGGGGCGAGCCGGGCGCGTCGCCCGAGGCTCTGTCCGGAATGGTGTCCTGGAGGAGGAGGAGGAGGAGGAGGAGGAGGAGGAGGAGGAGGAGGAGGAGGAGGAGGGGGAGGGAGGAGGAGGAGGAGGAGGGGAGAGAGGGGGAGGAGGAGGAGGGAGGAGGAGGAGAGGGAGAGGGAGGAGGAGGAGGAAGGAAGAGGAAGAACAGGAGGAGGAAGAGGAGGAGGAGGAGGAGGAGGAGGGTCGAGAAGGTGGGGGTCGAGGGGAGCGTGCGAGGCCAGAGGCCCAGGGTCAGGGAGCTCGGATGGGCGCACGAAGCGGGGAGCGGGGAGCGGTGGACGCACAGGGACACACTAATACTGTAAGTTCTCCTTGGAGGCGCGCGTCCGACCTGGACATGCAGCATACCCATCTTGTAGCATAGCGTTTCCCGAGCGGCGTGGCCAGAAAGCGCCCGCCACGACGCACATACTATAAGATTTCTCGGTGCGCGCGTCGCCCATGGGGGGGAAACGCACATACAGTATAAGTATGTTGGGGTGACGCCGATGAAATGTCCAGCAACTACAAGGATGGAGGGCGGGTTATTTCAAAAACTGAGCTCTCGTTTTGCCGCCGACCAGAGTCGTCTTCAAAGCTTGCAACAACAGGTACAGGGATGGAGGGCGGGGCGGCTTTCAAAATGGAGTTCTCGCCACAGCGCCGCGCAGACTCGTTATAAAAACTTGCAGCCGCTACAAGGATGGAAGGCGGGGCTTGCTCATGTTGGGCCTCTCGCTGCAGGACATCCGTGAATATTGAAAACCAGATCTGGAGATTCACAACACCTTCACTGATGAAGGGCGGCTCTTCTCCTCATGGGGCAATCGATTGGTATCCCTTCGAAGTGCGTGACCATAGCTGCACAGCTTGTTCAACAGCTACACAAATGGGGCTGCCCTTTTTCCCAAAACGGTGATGTCGTTATTTACTCCAGATGTCGTAATAAAAGGGAGGGGGTCTGGACCCTCCAAGACAAGCCACTTCAGACCTCCCCCGTGGGAGAACCCTCCCAAAACATCGTCCCCAGACCCCCCCAGGCCCTCCAAGATAGCCTGGAAGAGACCCCCCCCCGAAATGAGACCCCCTCCCTTTTATTACGAAATCTGGAGCACTTCGCTGGGCTGTCCGATCCTACCCGTGCCCATGCTTCGTTCGTGGCCTGTCGGGAGGGGCGCGAGGCAGCCCTTCTTCCGGACGGGCATCTCTCGCCTGAACGGCAGGCCCACAGGGCACCGGCCTCTCTCGACGGCGCGCTGCTCGCAGCGAGAAGGACTTGGGAGGCGTCATGGGGACGGGGAGGCGTCTCGCGGCATCGTTCATGAAAGGGGCCCCAGGACACACAAATAGATACGCACAAATAAAATGAGTCCCATATTTTCCCATATTGTCTGGGTTTCTGTCTTCCCCCCACTTCCCATGTTTTTTCCTATATGTTCTGGGGAATCGAGGATTAGTTGTGTCTGTGTGTTTTTGTTCCCTCCTGATTCGTGTATCTCGGACTCGGGTATACTCTGCCCTGGGATTCTCAATCGGCGTGGGGGGGTACCCCCCGACGGCGGTCAACCCCGCCTCGTCGTCGCGCCGCGACGGGGGTCGGAGCACCTTCGGCGCGCAGTGGCTGACCGCGACGGGGGTCGATG